GGCTACCTAGTAACCAGCAGATGCTGTTCTGTCATTAAGATAAGAGCTTAGCAGAGTCGGCTTTCATATCACTGTGGGCTCTCATAAGCTCTCGTCGTAATGACACATGGACGTCCCTGGTTACCTGACTGATTTTCCATCTGATATGAACATACACAAAATAGTGCATGCTACACATGGTTGCAAGTCCTTGGAATGTAGAGTGGACTTGAACATTTTTTTCTTTATTTATATGCAGTATTTTCAATAATATTTATTTTTTCTAGCCAGCAGGTGGAGGTCTCAGACTCTTTTGACAGGTTGAGATGTGATTAATAGCTAAGACTGCACCTTACACACAGAGCTTAATCATCACAGTGACTCATCTCTAATTCAGCGACTGAGTCTGAGGTTTTCATCAGAAAAGCAGAAAGCTACTAGTGTGCTGTCATTTAGCTAACTCATAGCACTTTGGAAATCCTTTGTCATGTATGTAAAGTTTTTAATAAAAACAAAGATTGTATATATTTAATTATAAACTGATAAAAGGTATAACAACTAAAGTCACATTAATCCAAAACCCATAAAACAAGGTGCTTAAAGAGGACGTGTACCCATATCTTTAAAATAACAACAAACACACCTTTAGAAATGTTTAGTAATGACAATCTATAAACACATACTTCTAGATAATTGCCAGCTTTTAATTCTTTGCATACCTTATATTTCTTTTTCTCATCATTCTTCTCACAGTGGCCAATTTTACTAAGGGCAGGTTACTAGATCTCAATTTGTTCCTGGAACACTGGCACATGTGACTAGAACTTGTGACTATTTACATCATCTCAGGGTAGGAAAATGCCTTTCTCTGAGATCTCATGAGATTACAGATGAGATTTCCCAGCAACGCACTGCTGATGTAACCTTCCCAGGATGCAATGCTTGGGCACAATTACATAATTTGTGCCAAAGTGGACCAGAAAGTAGAAAAAAAGAAATTGTAAGTAAAATAAAAATATGATTGTTTAACTAATGAATGTAAGAGGACTTCATATCAGCATGCAGAACTGTATGCTGAGGTGATTTTTAGTGAAAGGGAGTAAAGGTCCACTTTAACAATGCTGGCTATGGAGCCGCCGATCGTCTATATGTGAAACACCCGGTAACGGGTGTTTGCATTGGTCGGGTCTTTTCTGCCCGTGCGCGCCCACGAGCAGAAAAAAAATGCCGTCAGGGGACGGCAACCCACCAATGCTGCAGTGCCGTCCGTCCGTTTTTTTACAACGGGCGGACGGCAAGCGGTTAACCTTATCAATGTTTAATAAGCAGAGCAATATGAATTACCTAACGTTGTCATTTTGCAAGCATTCATATGTGTCAGAATCATTAACATTATGGGATAATTCATGGCTATGTATATGTTCAGACTACAAACAAATCTCATAAAATAACAGCTGGCACAAAAATATGTTGATTTTTTCCTTTTGCATTGTACGTGATAACATCAGAGGTTGGAAGAGAAAAAGACCAGATTGCTAGCTTTCATAGGACAGTGGGTTTAAGGTAAGTAATACTCTCTATTAGATCCCCCTAGACAAGTCAAGCATCATTTATTGCAATTTGGGGGGGGGGGGGAATGAGGTGGGGAAGGGATTGTGAGACCGTGAGATCTTATTTTTGGCCCACTCTGGAGTTCTGTTTTAAATGCAGAGGGTAAAAGAAAATAAAAAATGCCAAGGGCATGTATACAGTGTTCATGTGCATGAAACACATCTGCTTAGTGTCATCCTCATTTTTACATCTTAGTGATACAAATTCAAGATCCTCATTATTTCATAAATACATATGTAGGTTAAAAGATTAAAAGAGCATTCAAAACCGCATATAACAATCAAAACCATTGCTACAGGTGAAGGAAAATGAAGGATTACAAAAGGAAAACAGAATTGTTATTTTGTTTTCAGCACTGAATCAGACAATTGTAACCACAGAAACATGACAGGCAAAATAAGTTTGTGTTTATTATTCTGAGATTCAAATTGGAAAAGTAGAATGTTTTTCAGCTCATCAATTTGTGAAATTTTTGCAAACATAATATAGTTTTGCTGTAAAATAGTTTATCTTTGGAGGCGCATGTGCGCGGCTGTCGATGTCGGGTGGTGAGTGAGACAGCTCCGCAACTCCTCCGGACATAACCCCTATTAGCACGGAGCTCATAGCTCCCCATCTGCCGAAAACCACTCATCCTACCCTCGATGCGACACCCGGTGCCCGCCATGTCGCAATCCAGATCCAAAACCACACAGAAAACAAAACCCACAAGCAAGCCTATAGTAGAGGCCTTGGCCCGCGCTTCGGCCAAAATGGCGTCCTCTCCTGCTTCACGTACAGCTCCCTCACTGGCTGTATCGGCCTCCAGCAGTGACATGGACGACGATGACCAGATGAACCCACGCCAACAGAAGCGGTCACAAACGGCGCTTTTACAAAAATTTGACACCATGCTGCAGAAGGCACTGCATGTTCAATCCAAGCAGATCACAGATCGGCTATTGAAGGAGATCCGAGAAATAGGTCACCGCACGGCGGTCAGACACAAGTGACCCCTGGAGGGCATCACTGTCTTTCTCTATGCTAACCCTACAAGGGTGATGTTAACCTCACCTAGCTCCAATTTTACCTGCAGCTTGGAACCCGCACAGTCAATGTCCATGGACATTCCATATAGAACCTCCTATAGTATCTTTGGTTGGCGAGATTTAATTCAGGAAAGCAATTGCAAAACAGAAAAATATTTACAATAAAAAAAGTTTTTCAAAAGTTCTAATTGCATAGAAGAATTAATAGAATAGCACAAATATAAAAATTCAGTCCAAGATCCCTGAACCTTGCATAGCAAGAAAACAGACCCACGAGCAGCTTCAATGCTAAACATGTGTGAGGTTCACAATATAAGGCCACAGGTTTTGTGGGATATGTAATAAAATATAAATTTTAACTTTCAATGCCATCTATAAAAAGTTTTCTCAAGGTTGAGGCCCAGTCCCAACAATTACTTCTTGAACCTTAGCTGTGCATTGTCTGGGTCCCAAAAAGTGGTTGGTGTTGCAGCCAAAAGGCTGCCTTGGGTATTGAAATATTAGGACTTTTTTGACAACAGATGGCCACCAAATGCCTTTCCTGATCATACCCTTGATTTTATTTTTAAATGTTGGTGGAAGAACATGTAGGAGGAAGGACAGCTATAATAACATTTAAGTACTGTATGCTTAACTTCATGATTAATGTGTATTTGATCTCTTTTCCATATAAAAAAATATGATTCTGGAATCCAGTAAAAACAGCTTAACAAAGTGCACAGTTAAAATGCATATATGTGGGAAGGGGGAGGTAAGATGTAAGAATCAGAGCTCTTCCACTAAATATATCTCTCCCACCTGTTCGCTTGTACCCCTTCACCTCATTTTAGGTAGGAATAACTAACAAGAAAATGTGGGGCAACGCCTCATCTACAGCCGTGCAGCTAAAGATGGTACAGGCTCCCACGTTACTAGGACTAGCCAGACGTTGCTTGCACTCCTGCAAAGGAGACTGTAGGCAAGCAAACCAGAATTCAACCCCCTGTGCCCCCTGACCATCTCCCTGTTGACCCTGCAGGTTTATCAAGGAGTAGGGGGAAACAAACTACAGGGGTAGGCTGGCCTAATGCAGTGGACCCTGAATGCTCTGCTGTCACCATAATACAGCCTTATAATGCAGCCCGGTGTGATCCTAATCTGGCAGAGGTTCTATAAACAGCAGTGAATACAGGAAATCTCCAAAATGCCATGGTTATGATGTGGTGGCTTCACAGAGGGAATCACACGTATTGGTCTTGTGAACAAAGTAACGTTTAATGCCCGGAGAGGCGGTAGTAAAACAGAATATTTACAACAGTGGGAGAAAACGGTTTCCCTTCAGGCATGGAGGGCACAGATACATAGTCTAGTTGCATCCGTTATAGTCTGTAGTTTGATTAGTTAGCACTGTTAGCACTGTAGGCGCTCCCCACTTACGGGCACAAGTATAACCCCCAAGCACACAATGCATATTTGTAGAGGCTGTTATTCACAACACGTTACCGGGAAGCAGCGGTATTCGTTCAGCGGAGGGATATGTGGGTCTTATGCACTTTTCACTCACTCACAGCAGCGACACTGATGCGGCCACAGGCAACTGGGAGTCTTTCATCCAACTTGGACTCCCGATGCAGGACTCCGGAGGAACCCTGATCTATCCCTAACAGACCGCAACAGTCTCCCTGAATACCCCTAACTTTCCCTCACAGGCTGGGTATCTGTCCCTGTCTACGTCCACACGTGTTCTGCCCAAAATGTTGCTGGGCTTTCCTTATCTATCAAAACCAACCCAAAATGGGCGACCAAATCTCCCGAGATTTTGTGTCCTATCAGGACAACAAACTTCTCCAAAATGGTGCTGGAGACAACTATAGAGGCCAAATAATTCCAAACATTTTTCCACATAAACATAGCAATTCGACTGGAAAGTGAGTATATACAATTGCTAACCCACTTCATCTTTCAGCCAGCTAGGTTGCACTGGCACTGACAACTGCCTACATTTCCCCCCCATTTAAGAAGTGCAATCCCTTGCATTCACCTAGGGAAAGGTAATTAACACAGTGCAATAATACACTGAGTGGCCAGATTATTATGACCACCTGACGTTTGTAGGCAAATTAGCTGTAATTAGCTATAATTTTGCACTGAAGTTGCTAGAGGGCCAGACCATTATAAATAGGGAAGCAGGTTGTTTACCACGGCAGTAGAAGTGATTTTTTTCTGAAGATATGGGTAAACAACGCGATTTAACATCCTTTGAACGTGGGATGATTGTTGGCGCTCAAGCCATGGAGCGAGTATCAGCAAAACAGCAGAATTCGTTAAATGTTCAAGAGCAGCTGTTGTTAACCTCCCTGGTGGTATGATTATGTCAGGAATTTTGTACCAAAAGCGGTACAGTTTTTTGCATGGAAATTTGGTGTTATGTATTGTAGGCCTGCAATTCTTAGTAATTACTTACTTAAACCTGACCAAGCAAGACTCTAGTAGACATCCCAGAAGTGATAAAGTTTGAAACACAAAATCATGAATTATAATCTAATAAATAATATCATTTTATTCAATAATGTAATAAAAAATAATGAAATTTGTCAAACAAAGAAAATTCAATAAACATCCTGAGTGTGATAAATTTTGAAACATGGGACTGCACAAAGTCCGACGTCACAATCAGGACAATGGAACCTGGTTTATTTTCAGACTTTCTTTCCATTGCCAAATCTCTTTGAGCAGCAAACTACGCACATCCTGGTAGGTGCTGCCTTTTTTTGCGGTTGGCGGGATGTAGTCCATGAAGTGACGACCAGTCAGGCGTTCTGGCTTGACAACGTCAACAGCACGACATCCAGGTCTGTTCCCAGCTACTGATGGCGTCTGGTGGTTGAGAAAAATCCGCTCAGCCACCTTCCAGATAAACTCAGAATGAACAAGAGGCTTGTATATAATGTAATAAAAAATAATGAAATTTGTCAAACAAAGAAAATTCAATAAACATCCTGAGTGTGATAAATTTTGAAACATGGGACTGCACAAAGTCCGACGTCACAATCAGGACAATGGAACCTGGTTTATTTTCAGACTTTCTTTCCATTGCCAAATCTCTTTGAGCAGCAAACTACGCACATCCTGGTAGGTGCTGCCTTTTTTTGCGGTTGGCGGGATGTAGTCCATGAAGTGACGACCAGTCAGGCGTTCTGGCTTGACAACGTCAACAGCACGACGTCCAGGTCTGTTCCCAGCTACTGATGGCGTCTGGTGGTTGAGAAAAATCGGCTCAGCCACCTTCCAGATAAACTCAGAATGAACAAGAGGCTTGTCAATCTTTGCTCTGTGCAGGATATATGCATTCCAAAGGCATTGTTCCAGAAGATGCCTGAAGATCTTCTTATAATATTTTTTTTGCTGTTTGCGCATAGCCGGATAAAATGTCATTGCCTGATCGGCTCTGTCGACACCTCCCATAGTGTTATTATAGTCTATCACGACTTGCGGCTACAGCACATGTTTCCCACCTTTTGTGTGGACCATGGCAGTGGAGGTATTGTGCACAGTACTCATAAGACACACGTCCTTCTTGTCTCGTAATCGCATTGCCATCATCTTACCCTTTTGCCAGGCAACCATTTCTCCGGTTTTGAATTTTTTCTTGGCAAACAGAGATGGCATGTCACGTCGGTTAGGCCTAACGGTACCATATGCATCAGTCTTGTTTTGTAGCAAAACCTCATACAGTTCCGGAGACGTATAGAAATTGTCCGTGGTCACACAATATCCCTGGTTCAGCAATGGTTCCAGCAGTGAACTTCGTGCCTTTACCGGTGTAAATGACCGAATTCCAGATGTACCCAGTGGATGACTCGCAGAGCATGTAGGATTTGATGCCAAACCGCACTCTTTTGGATGCAATGTACTGTATCCAGCTTAGTCGTCCCTTGTAGGCCATCAAACTTTCATCCACGCTGATGTCCCTTTCTGGCACGTAGGTCCGCTGGAAATTGGTCACAATAATTTGGCATACCTCCCAGATTTTTTTTAGTTTGGGCGCAGGATGCATGGCCTCATCAAATTCTTCATTGTTCGTGAAGTGGAAATACTTCATGATGAGGGAAAACCGGTATTCTGACATCACGGTGCCAAAAAACGGAGTGGCCAGTAACTTATTGGTGGTCCAGTACCATTTCTG